ACAGTTCATATTGATTATCTACAATATCATTTATTCAATAATAATTATCTACATGTGAAACCACGGTCATTTTAAGATTTGCGAGGTGTGTCCATTCTAAGAACGCATCATCCATCTACTTTTATAGCTAGAGGCCTGAAAAGACCAAAAATAAGTGCCTTGCGCTGTCCGGAACATATCAAACCCGGGTCCGAGCAAAAAGAAACTAATAGACCAGGATCCGGCATTATTGAAAATTACTACTCAATTTGAAATTTAATATTTTATTTTGTTCAGGAAAAAATCGTCAAACCAAATAAAATACCTTTCTCATTAAACGACCATATTTGGAAATGTTAGTCATGCAAAATAGATTATTTGCGGGATTTTCAGATATTACCAATTACGTCTACAAAAATTTTTTGAAGAATTATTGATTAAAAAGGTATTTTAAAAAAAATAACGCGATCAAAATTACTTAAATTCACCGGGTACTTCAGCTTGTGATAAAAATTTCTCCTCTAAAACGTTCTACTTTTTATTTATTTATTTAACATCGTCAAAATGTAAATCCAATTTTATTTTCTCATTCATTTTCTTGATCGGCGGTTGGAGTTTGATGATATTTGACATTTCATTATGTTCAAAAAAGGGGAGGTTTTCTGTTTACAACATTGATTGATGTCGAGAGGAAAAAAAAAGATATTCTTGAAATCAGGCAATTCCATTAGGTGATTAATTGAACCCTCATAAGCTTAAAGTCGGGAAGTATAGCCCAAAAATTGTTAACCACCAACAAAATTACAATAATATACGAGACATCTAGTCACATGCCAAGAGATCACTCGGTTCATTCATCGTTAGATTCGGTGAGCACAATGATGTAATTATTCAAGATTTATTTAAAAGAATGACCGAGATCAACAAATTAGTGCACAATGGACAATTTTTATTAATTTTAAAAGAGAAAGAAAGAATAGAAACATTTTGGTAAAAGAAATTAGCACGTGGCGAGTGTTTGCTGCGGTCTTGTATTTGTTTTGTAGAACACGACAAATTAAACTGCAAAACAAAATACATTGGAACGAGGATAATGCAAACAGATTTCTTAATCAGTTATGAATTACCATAAATAGAAACAATTATTCGATTTTTTCCTTGTCTAATTGACAAAGTCGGAAATTCTTGAATGTTTTTTTTTTGTTGTTTCGTTTTTTTAATATTCAACCAAAATCGGAACAAAGGACATTAAAAAATATTTAAGGTTAATGAAACCAATAATATAATTTTGACACCAATGATTGTTACGGATGAAAGTCCCGTTTTTTTTTTATAAAAAAATTCTTACTGTTAGGGTTGCATTAACTTTCTTTAGTGTTTTGGAACGGTGATCTATTAAATCTTATAAAAGTGAGTATCTTTTTGCATTTATTTTCACGTTGTTAAAAAAAAAAAATAATAATAATAATTTGTCTATTTCCCCCCCCCTTTTTTTTTCTTTTTCTCTCTTTTATTTATTTTATTATTCTTTTTTAATGGTTTGATTATTCTCTTCCTTTCGTATTCATTTCTTCCCTTTGAACCTCTGTAATCGATTAAATTGTTGGTTCCATACGTCATCATTACTTCCATCCTCCACCCAACGTGTTAGTCTTTCTTTTCAATCAACCTAAACATGTCCGGAATAGGTGAAATACCTAAAGGTAAAGGACCAGTGGTTGACGAGGCAATGCAGCCAAAAGGTAAACCAGGAAAAATAGCAAATGATTATGGTGCACCAAAGGATGTACAAATGGATGAACCAAAAGATGCACCAGAAGTTCCAATACCAATATCAAAGGAAAACCCAAAGGAAAACCCAAAAGGCATCCCAAAGGACATTCCAAAGGACATTCCTAAGGAAAATCCAAGATTTTTACCAGAACCAAAAGCACCACTACCACCACCGCCATCACCAACGCCATTTCCACCACCACCAACGCCATCACCGACTCCTCCTCCTGCACGAACTTCAATAGTTATTGAAACTAAAACAAATCCGAATTTATCAGCTCAAGCTACATACATACCTGATAACCCCACAGTTACCCTTAGTAAAGCCGAAACTGCAGACAACAATACGGGAACTTCGAATTCTGCTGGAATTATTTTCGGTATTATGGTTGCACTTGTTATTGTAATAGGCGTCATAGCCATGTTCATACGGAAAAAACTTCCTGAATTACGCAAAAATAAATCGAGTGGAGCGAGATCTTTACAAAGAACTTCCCCTACGAATGAAAAAGATGATTTAGTTAATACAAATCATTATGATTCTAGTACTTCCAGTAGAGAACCTCAGAAAAACGATACGACGGACAATTATAATACGTCGCTACAAATTCCAATGATGTCACAACCTCAAAATCCTCCACAATTATATTCAAATCCGAACAATTATTCATATGATTATCAACCCAGACCTTCGCATTATCCTCCAGGACATGGCTTTGTATATACGGATCCCGCAATTCCAAATCTTTATCAAAGAAATCAATCACCACCACCAATAAATGAAGTTTATTATAATAGAGTAATCACGCCCCCACCACCAAATCCCGCATCACCAAATCGATCTAATTATAGCAAATATGATCGAATAATGAATAAATCTTTGCCTTCTGTACCATAATTTAAATTACCTTCTCTGTAGTTTTGGCTAAAGATTCAAGGTATGAAGATTAAACTTCATCAAAATACAAAATGTTTTCCTTCCGCTCTCTAGCAAATTAAATTATCTAAACCAAACACTATAAATAATAGATTTAGATGTAGAATAATAATTTGGTTCAATGGGATATTTAATTAATATTATTAATTAACCTTTATATTTTAATCATTTTGTACAATCATAAAAAAAAATAATAATAATAATATGTTTCTTTAAAACTGGTTTTAAAGAAATTCCTTTCATTTTTTATTCATTCAATAAATTGTTGTTGCAAATTTTTAATTTTCTCTGATAACTTCAAAGTCTACATATGCACTAATCTCCAAATGAGTAAAGATCGATTAATAAATGTTGAATATTATTTCGGAATCATTGGTTTCAATTCAACATTATACGTTTTTCGAAGATTAATTTGTTAAAGAAATTAACTAACGATTGAAAGTATGAAAAAAAAACCTAATTTATAGAAATTAATTTTTTTTTATTGTAAAAGTAAAAAACAAAATTGAATAACTTAAATAGTTGTTTTTTTGTCGTAATGAAAATGGAAAGTGATGAATGGCTTTTCGACGGAAAATTTTACAGTTTTTTCTTAGGATAAATATATAAGCATGTAAAGTTTATATAAAGAAAATTTTATAAAACGTCACTGTAGATATATAAAGTTTGACCTTTATATGTTCAATAGCGTACATTCAATCCCGTATTTAATAAAGTGTTCGCCTTTTATTTGTTTTAGTTTTTATATATATAATATATAATATATGTATATTGTAATTGTAAATGTTGTCATTTTAAACAGGTAATTTTCAAAGAATTAATGGCCATGGTTATTTTATGAAGGTTTTTTTTTTGAATATCGCGTAAGAATAGATTTATTATTTCCTTTTTTTTTTTTTTTTTTTCTGATATAAGGGTTCTCAATGATGCTTTTCTAATGTAATTTTTTTTATTAGTCAAACTTTTTTTTTTTTTAAAAAAAAAAAAAATAGAATCAAGGAATATAACATCCGAGTCTGGTGCACATGCCATCTTTTCATCAATTTCTACGACAAGCTGCTAAATTTTATATTTTTTTTAAAGTTCGATAAATTTATTGCCAAAAATTTCTCAATTTCCATAAAGATATGGCAAGTTGCTTGGTTTGCGGCGCACTTACAACACCGATCATAGGATTTTGTTGATTTATATTTAAATAATTTTTAATTTTCTCAATTTCTTTGTCACCCCAAATAGTTTTAACATAATAGAAAGGAATGCTCCGAGTCACGTAGTTCACATCATTAAATTTATCAGAGATATCATCTTTTTGTGAGATAAAAGATACTTTCTCAATTGATCCAATATGATTCGGTAAAATCCTTAAAGGTTTATAAGAATCATCAGATTTTTTCTTTGATTTTTTACCTCGAAATTCGTCATCATCATCATCATCATCATCATCATCAATTATTTGATTTGGAGGAGGATCTTCAAGTCTCAGTACACAATTAAGCCCCGAAATGGGCTTATTATAACATTCATAACAACTTTCTACTTTGATCACTGGATGAAAAGCATTCTCTTTCTTCATAGGAAACCTATGTGTTCCCAACCTATCTATAATTCTATCAAACCTTAATATAGAATCTTCTACTAGTATTTTCCAGATGTGTTCATGCATGTCTTTTCTCCAATACCCATGATTGTCGATCATTTTATATTTACCTATATTTAAAAAAAGGATTCAAAAATTTTTTTTTTAAAAGAAATATTTTTTGAAAGATTTTCTTGGGATACGAATACCTTCTTTTAAAACGTTTCGTAAAGTTTTTGCATTGCATCTTATCCAATGACCTTTACCAGGTCTCTTTGTACCGCCTTCTTCCATAAAATCTGGTACGATCCATACTGAAGAAGTTTCATCATCGTAAGCTCTTATAAACCTTACCAAGAAATCTGTAAAGTGAAAGTGAAATGAAAGTTTTTTAAGAAAACGATTACAAAATTCAATAAAACATTTCTTAGGTTACAAACATATACCTTTGGGAAACCATCTTTGATGATAAATGCATTGACGAATGGGTCCTCCAACCATTGAAGCTTAAAGAGGGGGAAAATAATCTCAATTCATTTTTACGATTTAACTTAAAAAAAAGGGTTATCATTGCAAAAAACTCACCATAAGGATCGATAAAAACATTCTTCTCTAACCGTGTTAAATCATTCAAGTCCGTTACTTTTGGAGCTGGAGCTCTTTTATATCTTGGTGAATTTGCGTAAGGTCCGCTAGGGTCAAGTAAAATTGATTGCGATTCATTTTCATTCTCTTCTCCTTTGAATGAAAAATTTGTATATTTAGGTAAGTTATTATATTTTTTTAAAAGATGGGATGAAGGATTGTTGAATAATTTTGTAAAATTGGAAATCAGAAGAGTTGAACGAAGTGTAGAAGAAAGCTGCATACTTTTTTTACATTATTTTTTTTTTTTTAAATGATCACCTTTATTTTTCTAAGATTCGATCATGTGATTGCAAAATATCCAATCACCACTTAATTGGCGCAGCATACCCGTCCGTAGAAAAGGTGCAAAACAATGACATTAGTCAAAAAGTTTGACCAGACAAAATGAAAGAAGGACTGATTGATTTATTGTAAGATTAAAAAAAAAAAATACGGAACTAGCTTATAAAGTTGGCAAAAAAAATAAAAATAAATAAGGAGGATGCGATTTCAATTACGCGTAATTCATTTTAGGTATTGTAACGACCTGGTAATCGGAACGCAAAATTCTTTATTAATATGAGATCGAAACGAAGGTTTCAATATATATATATATATATATTTTTTTAATGAAAAATATTTTTTTTTTTTTTTTCTTTAGAATATAAAATTGTAACTTTAGATCATTAAGCTAAGCTTTAAAAATTATAATACGTTCATAAAATTAATACTTTACATGTTGATTAGTAATATTACATTCAAAAGAATAACTTAAATATGGACATAATCACCTCAGCAAAACGTTAAATGATTTCACTTACCATTTTATATGCAAATTAATGAAATTAAATTTAATTTATAAATATTTAATAAATGTTTATAATTTTTGTTAAAAATGAAGTAAATCAAGGTGTATATATATATATATTTTTTTTTTAATTGTTCAGAATTCTACTATAGTAACAAGCTTTTGGATGTGGTTTATAATTATTCAAAAGGATCAAATAATCACTTTTAATCATTTCCTGCCTTTCCATTTCGGCTTTAGCTATTAAATCGGGTTTTAAATTCCAACTCTCGATAACTTTAATGATTTCATCAATGTTTGGCCTTTTAAATGGAAAGTGATTCCAACACTCTTCCATTAAATCCAAATAAAATTTTGGTGTTCCCTTGGTGATTTCAGGACGCAAACCATCAATAATCTTTTCTATTAAATCTTCATCATGAGCAAGGTGAACAAAAGGTGGTTGCCCTGAAGTTAATTCCCACATTATCATCGCGAAAGAATAAATATCTGAAGCTGTCGTATATAATTCATCATTGTTGCTGTTAAATAATATTTCGGGGGACGTAAAAGGTATTAAACCATAACGTTTTTGATGTGACGATGAATTTGAAAATTCGTTTGCCGGTGTGCACATTCCAAAATCCGAGATCAATATATCATATTCTTGTGAACTTTCACTTTCCTCTTCTAAAAAAGATTTTGAAAGGTTTAATAAAATGTTCCCATCATGAATACCAAGATGCGCACATCCGTGATCATGTATATCCTTCAACCCTTTTGCCACATCTAATAACATGGAAATTTTTTGAATCCAATCAATTTCAACGAAATTATCTCGTAGATATTGACGTAAGTCTCCTCCGTTTGCGTATTGCATAACTAAGATATAATCATTTGTTTCTGGGTCTTGAGAAATTCCGTAAAGTTTTGGACTTTTGCTTGAATTTATTATGGTAAAACTTGATTCAAGCTTGGGAAGAAGTGAAGAAAAAAGGGGTTAATAAATTTATTACTTCAAAAAAAAAGAGAGGTTTAAACAATATATTACCTGATGAACAAATTCAATTCCAACATTCTTTGAATTCTTTAATTGTTTAAGAGCTACATATTGAGATCCGGTTGTGCTCTTACCACATGAAAAGTTCCTTTTTAAAATCTGTCAAAATGCGTCAAAATGTCAAATATATAAAATTATATAAATATAAAATAATAAATAAACGTGTATACATAATAAATACCTCAATTTCAAGTCTATCAAGAACACGATCATGCCATAATTTTAAATCGTTAGGTTGAGATGGTGATAACCTTTTCTTATTATGCCTTAACCCAAATATTTTAACGACTTTAGCCCACCCTTCCGATTTTTTTTTGATACAAGGTAAATTTTGTGTACTGTCTCTTACATTTTTTACGCCGAATTCTCTAACGTAACTGGGAGCCTCTTCATAAACCAACTTCCAAATAAATTCATCATGATGTTTTTCCATCTCATTCATCCAACCTTTAATGGTACCAAAACAAGGTCCGTTATTCCAAGAAGCGAGGTAAACTTTACTAAATCCACCTTCCTCTAATAATATATTATTGTCAAATTCGTTGAAAGGAATAAACTTCAGGTAATCTCCCTCACGTGACGTTGTCAACTGAGTCCTTTTGATGAATTCATCTAATCCTTCTATTCCACTCGTCCAATTACCAAAATTTTCTTTAAATAACCTTATTTCACATTCCTTACACCATAATATCGAGTTGATCATATACGGCGTTTTGCATCTAAAGCAACACTCTGATGGTAATATGGGAAATGATGATGGCATTGGTTCATTCGGTAAGATTCTTAAATAATTATAAACCCTATCGAAGTATGTTGTTGTATAATCTCTTAATGATTGTTTACTTCCTAAATACGGTTTACGTTTTTCCGATTGCATCTCTAAAAATTAATTTAATTTCTTTCTTTCTTTT